TGTGTTTTTTTATTATTATATTATAATAATTAAAAAATACAATGTGTGACAAGGAGTTCAAAACTCTTAAAGAACATTATTTGTGAGTTGTTATTGTTAAAGAACATTATTTGTGAGTTGTTATTGTTAAAGAACATTATTTGTGAGTTGTTATTGTTAAAGAACATTATTTGTGAGTTGTTATTGTTAAAGAACATTATTTGTGAGTTGTTATTGTTAAAGAACATTATTTGTGAGTTGTTATTGTTAAAGAACATTATTTGTGAGTTGTTATTGTTAAAAATTATATCAAAGCATAACTAGAGCATATCAAAGCATAACTAGAGCATATATATATATATATATATTAGGGTGGTCCATAAAACAACTTTTTTGAGAAAAACCTGCTGACACCCCCTAAATGTGTTTTATCTAATGCAAAAACACTAGGTTTAAAATTTTTTTGAACAAAAATTATTTTTAGGGGTAGCTCAAGGCCCTCAAAAATTTGACGGGTCCCTAATATTTTGAAAAAAAAACTTTTTCTAAAGTATGTCAACCTGGTACTCAAAAGAAGCGATATTGTATAAAAACTTCAAAAATAATAATCATTTTACATAAAAAACATGCCTAAAAAAAATTATTCTCAAAAAACCTGAAAATATTGACTTTTTTTATTTTCAGCTTAAAAACAATAGTTTTTATGCATTTATACCTAAAAAAATTATTTTTATAAAAAATTATTATCATTTTTAAATTTTTTATATAATTTTGCTTATTTTGAGTACCAGGTTGACATACTTTAGAAAAAGTTTTTTTTTCAAAATATTAGGGACCCGTCAAATTTTTGAGGGCCTTGAGCTACCCCTAAAAATAATTTTTGTTCAAAAAAATTTTAAACCTAGTGTTTTTGCATTAGATAAAACACATTTAGGGGGTGTCAGCAGGTTTTTCTCAAAAAAGTTGTTTTATGGACCACCCTAATATATATATATATATATATATATATATATATATATATATATATATATATATATATATATATATATATATATATATATATATATATATATATATATATATATATATATATATATAATATATATATATATATATATATATATATATATATATATATATATATATATATATATATATATATATATATATATATATATAGACAGACAATGTTTTAAATAAAAAATGCTTAACGTGTTAGCCTAATATGATTTTGACATCATAAAATTCTCTTTATTTTTTTATTTTTTAAAGACATTAGCTTTTTTAAATTACCTCAAAACGTGTTAATTATTAACTCGTTTTTTTTTATTACAACTAGAGAATGTTTATTTTCTTTAAATTTTTTTTTAATTTTTAATTTAATAATTAAATTTGATATTAAATCTTTAAAAATGATTGGTTAAACAAATTTCTTTCTTTTTTCAAATTATTCTAAACGAATTAAAGTATGTTAAATTTTTAAAATGATTACTTAAATTTATAATTGTGGCTTTGCAACTAAATATGGTTTTTTATTTTAAAAATTAGAGAGTAACAAATACAAAAATTACATTAATTTATTTACATTATTTATTAAGAGTTTATTTTATTATCGATATTGTGGTTAAAGCAAAGATTTAAACAATATTTAAATATATTTTTTAAATCAAAATTAAATTATATTATTATGATCATTGCTTCAAGCTTAAAGTATAAGTGTTTTTCATGTGAAAAAGTCAATTATTACAATAAAATAAAAATAAAAACAAAATATCATAATATAAAGTTAAGTTTATTTAATTTTTTTTTTGTTACTATTAATTTATTGTTTATTAGGGGTTGTCTATAAATTATGTCACACTGTTAGGGGGAGGGGGTTGGTGGTTTTGTGACGACTCATACAAAACTTGCTTCTTAAGTGTTACGATTTTGTGACAAGGGGGAGTTAGTCAAAACGGTCAAAACTTGCCATTATGTAATTTATGAACGACTCCTTATTGAATAGAAATTTAAGTTAATTTTTTTTTTATTGCAATTTAAATTTTGTATAAATATTCTTGTGCTCGCAAGATGATAAATAAATAAGTTTTTAATAAATAAATAGCCTTTATATCTAACATAATAGTCATTTAAACTTTAGTAACAACCTTTTTTACATAATTGCCGTTCAAAAATTAACATGGTTTTTATAAAATTAATTACTTCTTATATCTTACCGCTTATAGAATAATTTATAAATTAAAAAATTGCTTAATAGAAATCGCTCTAGGCCTATCTAAAGTTATGTAAATTGCTGACAGCTTAACACTGAATTTGTGTTTAGATAACATCTCTGATGTCACACTAATATAACCTGCTACCAGGGGTTTCAATAAATACATTGACTTTCTTTTATTTTAATGGAAAAAATTGTATTTGTATTTCACCTGAGGCAATGGTATTTATTAATTTATCGAATACCATCTGGTTACTTTCTTTTTTTTTCCACTTCGAGCACTGTATATATATATATATATATATATATATATATATATATATATATATATATATATATATATATATATATATATATATATATATATATATATATATGTATATATATATATATATATATATATATATATATATATATATATATGTATATATATATACATATATATATATATATATATATATATATATACTATATATATATATATATATATATATATATATATACATATATATATATATATATATATATATATATATATATACATATATATATATATATATATATATATATATATATATATATATATATATATATATATATATATATATATATATATATATATATATATATATATGTATATATATATGTATATATATATATATATATGTATATATATATATATATATATATATATATATATATATATATATATATATATATATATATATATATATATATATATATATATATATATTATATATATATATATATATATATATATATATAATATATATATATATATATATATATATATATATATATATATATATAATATAAAGTGTGCAAGGGGAATCCCAGTGATATCACATTAACAATTTTTTAGTTGTTATCTCTACTATGTTAAAAGTAAGTATGTGCATCTTACAAAAATGGATATCAAAAAAAAAAAAGTTAGATTACATCAAAATTTTGATGTGAGAAAAAGGGTCTTAAACCACAAGTCCATATTGTTCAAGGGTTATCTAAGATCCTTAGCCCTATACAGGGGCGCTGTTTATAGCTATTTGCATAACAACCAATCAAACTTATTTTTACTAAAAAAATAATTTTTTTATCATTTTTAAAATGGCGGATAATTTTCAAAATCCAAATACTACAGAAATTAAAAAAGATAAGAAAAAAACTTGGTTTGAAAGTGGAAACAAAATAAAAATGAACAATTATCTTCTCATATGATGGGCTTTCCATTTAATTGCAGACGATTAATAATTGTTTTTAGAAAATGGCAGCGAAAAAGAGGAAGTTTTTACTTTTGTATTTTAACAAAATGCAAAATAAAAATCAACAAGTTGTTTCAATTTTCAATTGAGGTTTTAAGTGTTAAACAAAGAAAAAAAGAATTCTTCATGACTACAACATAATAATACTGTTAGAGTTCCAGTTTGCACCAATATTTGATCAATTTTTGGAAATAGGAAAATCAAGAATAGTAACAATAAGAAGATCTCTTGCTCAGATGGTAAACAGAAATAAACATTTTTTTTATTTATTTACTAATTAGTCATTCAAATAAAATACACAAATGTGTTTTAACAGAATTTTTCTCTCAAAAATAAAAACAAAATTTGTAAGATAATATTACTAATAATGTTCTTAAATATGTTTTTTAAACTAAAGGTCGAAAATTAGAAATCTAGCCTCTTAGTGGAAGTTGAGAAGGGTGGAGGTTTAGAAAGTTGTCAAAAAAAGATTAAGAAAATGAATTGAATAAATTTTTAAAGTATATTATGAAAAAACTTATAAAAAAAACTAATGAATAGAAATAATAATCGGATATAAATCTAAAGCATAGGAATTTCTTTCGCTTCTTTCCCTGACAGTGTCTATTGTTAAAAAATGAACCATTTTTAAAATTCAACACGTATTTGAATATATTATAAGCAACATATTTAATGTTATTTCATTTCTAAATCATAATCTATAATTACAAGGGAAAAGCCAGTGATGTCAGTGATGTCCAGAATTCAATGCAGCATTTATAATTTACATTCCTAAAAAATATTTTTACACTAGTTTATTATAGATCATTTACAAATTTAAAATAAATATGTAAAACTGAAAATAACATAGTAACTTAAGTCCTAATTTTTTTACATCTCAAAATGAGTAAAATATGATCACTGTTATTTCCCTTACATCCTTCATATATACAAGGCCGGCGCGATAGGGGTGTAACACCCCCCCCCCCCCATCAATGGTTTTTAGTCAGCAAATTGGACCCTTTTAGACTAGTTTGTCGGCAAATGTCGACCCTTTCATTATAGGTTAGATAGTTGGCAAATATCGTCATGGCAGTCGGCAAATTTTGGAAAAGAAGGACCTTTTTTTTTTTTTTTTTATATATATATTGATTTTATTATTTGTATTTCAAGTTTTTTATTCAACAATTTTTTAATACTTACATTTGTTTGTATTCTTTTGCCACAGATTATGGCAGCTATAAAGTATTTTATAATTCATTTGTTCATATAAATATCATAACACATATCAATAACCATATCATTTATTTCATTTTCAACTGCACATTATCAATTACATTTCATCAACAACATGTCATCAATCACTTTTTTAAAAATTTTCTTTAAAATTCAAACTATTTTTAGCAATTATTAAAAAATTTATATTGAGAATTTATGAAAGTATTGTTGACAAGTAATAACTCTAAAAGAAAATTACTATATAACTTAAACTGGTATATGAAACAATTTTTTTTTGTTTGTTTAAAAACTTTTGTTTTGTTTGTTAGAAAAAACTTTTGCTGCAAGTAATAAAAGTTGTTCGTCATCTGATGATGAAGGTGAGATTCTTGAAGAAAATGATCAAAATAGTATAACTTATGAACATAGCGATTTTCGAAGTGGAGCATTATCATATGATGTAATTTCAAACATGTGGGATAACTTTTCAGTTGAAGAATATGCACCTTATGTCAAAACTTCTCCACGTAAAAACAAGAGTTGGTCTCCTTCAATTACAATACCAGAACCATTTCAAATGACTATTAGAGATGAAAAAAAAGGTAAAAAAAAGTCTAAAAAAATCCAAAAAATAGAAGATGAGTTGTTACTAAAACAATTAAGGGAAGAAGCTGAATTACACAAGAAAATTGTCCCAACACCTATTCCTGCAAGCACATTTCTGCCTCTATATGAAGAAATAAATAGGCAACAAGAAAGAAATCGGCGTTATATTAGAAATATTAAAAAACATATGCTTATATCAACTCAACGGCCATTTTCATTTATTAAGAGAGAAGAAGCAAAAAAAGATTTAAAACGAAGCTATTCAGCTGAAACCATTAACACACAAAAAAATAATCAGTTTCATGCAAAACCATACCCAGAAAAATTATTTGACTTATCTCTGGCTGACAAAATGGCAGAAGAAGATGAATATCGCAAAATTAAAATAAAACTTAGAGCTCAAGAGCTTTTAGCAAGTTCCTCGTTACCACCAAGCATGAAAAGACGTGACAAAGTGCATTATAAAATGACCAAAAAAAATGAAAATTCTAAAAATGATCGCAAAAGTTTTAAACCTGTTGTTCATCATGAGATACCAGATTTTGAAAGTTTACATAAAAAAATTATAAATGAACTTGAAGAAAAGAAAAGGTTTAATTTATCTACAGTTTGCAATCCTTTTGAACTCAAAACAATGAAAATACCTGAAAGAAGATTAATCTTTAAAAAAAATTCTTCTAAAGATTCTTCTAAAGATAATTCTCAATTGAATAGATCTTGTAATACAAAAGCAAAAAGTCCAACTCATTCTCACATGAAGTCTGAACAATCTCCAACTTACAGGTAAATCTGTGTAAATTTTTTTTCATCTCTATATTTTGTTATTGCTTTAAATGCTGAAATAATTATGGTTAAAATTACATCTAAAGTGAAAGGCTGAAGAGTAACTACTCCCCATTTCCATAAACACACAATGTATGTATGTATGTATGTATGTATGTATGTATGTATGTATGTATGTATGTATGTATGTATGTATGTATGTATGTATGTATGATACTTACATTAGGCAGGTCGATTTTCCACTTTTTTTGGAATATGGGCATTATGCTAGTTGAGATAAAATAAAAAAGGTTTATTAGACGCTGTTAAAACAAACAACCCGATTTCGATTTAGGATTCCAAAATAATTCTTTGAATACTTAAAAAAAGCTTTTATTCGTGCTATATGAATAAACGTTTATAAGACCCTCTAAGTTAAGAATTCTTCTTTAAAGATTTAATTTTAAAAATGAATCTTAATTTCATTCTAAAAATATCTACAAGATTGTAGACCAACCAAATGTCATATTCAAACATTCTCAATTCATTTAATTATAGAAGTTTTTTTTTAATTTAGTATTTTGCTTAATGAGTTGTTATCTATGATAAGTTACTTTATAAATCAATAAAATTATTTAAAAAATTATACATTAAGCTTAAATGAAACAGCTCGTCTACGTCAAGAACGCTTAAAGTCAACCATTGAAAAAAGTAAAATTGATAGTTTGCGAAAATCAATTGAAGAAACAAAGAAAAGAAAAGAACAAGAGAATTTGCGGAAGTCGCTGGTTACGAAAGTGGCATCTCAAGATCCTTCTAGAAATAGAGAAGTAGAAAATGAGGAGAAAATAAAACGCTTCAGGTTATTTCTCTTTTTAGGAATTTTAACTTTTTCAGACTTTTTTTTGCTAAAGTAATCAACTGAATAATTTGAAAATTGACCAATTTTTCTTTTTAGAGAAGCCGATTATGCGAGACGGTGCGAATATGATAAATACTTACATGACATTAATACAAAGTTGAATTCACGACCTTTATTATTTGAACGTGAATCGCAGACAAATGCTAAACTCAAAGCTAGTCGTAGATACGAAGAAGTATTGAGAGACGCCGGTGTTTGCGAAAATGACCTTGAAAAAATAATGCGTCGCCAGGTTAATTCACAAACAAGTGAGTTTTTTGAAGAAAGTATGAATAAAAAAAGTAATGAAAGTTCTGATTTTGAAAATAATAAGAAAAACGCAAGTCATAATATTTCTTCTGATGACGATATTTCTTCATTAGAAGATAAAGTATTTAAAGATTCTATTGCTGAAGATCATAATGCTAATTTATCCAATGGATCTGATGGAGAAGGTGGTACTTTTACTTCAGAAAATGACGGTTTAAATAGTAAAAGCAGTGATGACGGCAGCTATAAACAATCATGATTTGTAAAGGTCATGTTTGTCAAATAATCATAAATCGGACAGGCTGTGACGGAGTTAATTTTAAGTAGTTAAAAATTAGAAAAGCATCCATAGCAACAAACGTCATAAATACAGAAAAAATATAATCAATTAAGATACTATCTTTATGATGGAATAATACGCCACTATAATACATGATATGGCGTCATATTAGACATTTAGAATTTAAAAAGGACTAAAACAAAAGTTAATGACTAAATAAGTTAATGACTGGTACTTTAACAAGTTGTCGACGATTCCTTCTATTGTTCTAAAAACTTGATAATTAACTACATATTCAAAAGATAGTTTTCTCCATAACTTTTCCAAAATTAAATTTGATGTCTAAAAACGGATTTTTATATACTTTTTAGTATAAAAAAAAAGAAGACGGTTAAGTACATTTAAAAACTTTAAGCTTATAAACAATTTACTAAGTTAGTAAAACGGTTTGACACAGCTACATATAAATTTGTTGTTCTGAATTTAACACAATTCAGTTTGACGAAAACAAAACATTACTAATTTAGATTTTGAAAGCCTTTAAAACAAGCATCATAGACAGTTTTGAGTTACCCATGCAATGTTTATTCTCCATCAATGTTTTTACCTCTGGTAATTAATATACCATTTATATTGTACCTCTGGTACAATATAAATGGTATATTAATTACCATTCGTTTCTTAAAAAAACAATTGCATGTGAACTTCCAATCAGATGTAAAAACGTTTTAAACAACTGCATTTGAACTTCCAAATTCCTATTTATTTTCGGTCCCATTATTTGCTTTTTGATAATGTTAAATATTTCTATTGTATATTATTAAATTTCTTATAAATAAAGAGTTAAAAGTGAATTAGATAGCTAAATTTTATGTATATATAAAAATGTGTTACGATGTAGATATATATTCAGATGTATTTATATATATATATATATATATATATATATATATATATATATATATATATATATATATATATATATATAATATATATATATATATACTTAAAATAAAATAAATGTAAAAACGAATGTTAAGAAATATGTTTTTAAGTTATTTACTATACTACTTTGTATAGACGATATTTTTTTTTACTTCTTGTGCTCAGTTTCTTTTCATCACGGACGAAATATTGTTTCACGTTGGTTGTTGGAAAAAAATTTTTGGCGTGACATACCAAGGACGTATGAATAGATATTTATACTATTCATACGTCCTTGGACATACTAAAATATGCCTTTATATAACTTTTTTTCCTTTTTAAATATATTTGACAATATGAGAACCAAACTTAAGAAAAAGAACTACAACAGATTTTTTTGGAAAGGTATTTTTTGAAGACATTTAAAACCATTTCATGCATTATGATTTATGAAGAACTTTCACTAAGACTTTATTTTTCTTTTAAAATTCAAGTATTCAGAAGAATATTAGCCATAAGGACAAATAAAATAGTTAAGCTTAGTAAATATTTGAGTTATTGGGGGTTCAAGTTATGGAGTGATTTTTACGAAAAAGTGTTAATGAGGACTTAAAGGGGAACTCAAAAGTACATTGAGATTCGGAAAGTTTGAGCTATCGAGAGTTCAAACATTCGGGAGTTTAATGTAGACATAACTAGTTTTTTGATAACTCAAAAATTTGCTTTAAGCCATAAGTTAAAGTTTATTTAATCTCCATAGTTCTAAAAATTTTTTTGAATTTATAAACAAATTTTTTCATGAATATATAATATTTAAAAAATTACTGTAAAAGACTAAAGAACCATATAATTTTGAGAGTTTTTGCAAAATAATAAAAGATGAATTAAATGCTTTGAAAAGTCGGCGAGCACAATACAAATTTTTTTTTTGGTTTTACATTTCTCTTTTTTTTCTTTATTGCAAACATTTACGTATTTTATTTGTTAATAGTGTGTGTGCTGAATATTCTTAAATGAATTTTCATAACACCAATCATAAATTTCTAATAAAATATCCAATATAAATTAATAATGTAAGAAAAACTAATAATTTTTTACAAGTGTCACAATGATGAATTTTTCTCAAATAAAACCAATACTCAACAGAATAACGCGTTTTGAATCTTTATGTTAACAACCTTAATTCTTTAGCGCAAGTTTTAATATTATATGTTTGAAATAGTCAATTGTGTTTCGGCAAGTTTTGAAAAGCAAAAGGCTTATAAATTAAATGTTTGAAAAAATTATATATAACGCCACACACTAAATCTTAAATACAAATTTGGAGTATTTGGAACCTTTTTTAGGTATGATTTTGTTTAATTTTTTATTACAAAAAGACGCACAAATTTTTGTAGGTAACAGTAAAACCTATGTTTTTTTTGTAGTTTAAAACTCTTTTTGCACACTTGAATTAAATATAGTTTCAAGGTGCTCATATAAACTATTTGAAAATTTTATCAGGCGGTAAAAAGTCACCAACAAATTCTTTTCAATTATTAGACTTAAATTATTACCGATATTTAAAAATATCAGGTTTTTTTTTTAAGATTTTCTGCATTTTAAGGTGCTCTATAATTAGACAAAGTTAAGTTTATATAATAGTATATAAAAGTACATTACATAAATGTAATTTTATATACTATTGCATCTAAAATACTATTTAAGATAAATTCTGTTTATCAACAGTCTTGATTACTTTAAAGTAGTCGAGACTGTTAATAAAAAAATCAGAACAAGAAAAAAATAAATAAGAACAAGGCATTGTAAATGTTATTTGTAGTATATACTTAACTTTCTTGTAGTAATTGAACATGGGCAAAACAAATATTGCTCTTTAGAAAAAAGAAAAACAATTTTAAGTATGTTGTTGAATGGACTTCAGATTTTTAAAATTTCCCGTCAACTAGGGTGTTCTTGAAAATTGGTTTAAAACTGTCGTTAACATAAAATGTCGCACTGGTTAGAGTTCTCGCTCAGAACCAAGAGGTTAGACACCAACTTTAGCTCAATAAGCGACATTGGTAAAGAAAGGAGATGTGAAAATCCTTGTTAAATGCTTTACCGCGGTGCTCTGTAATAAGACCGTAAGAGCTTTTAGGAGCACCTTAATGACTACAAAAAAAAAAAAAGTTTTAAAAATTCAAAAACTTAGAGATGCCAAAATTGTCGTATGATGTTTGAAAGCTTCTTATCAGTATGCCATCAAGATGCGCAAAATTGTTTAAGAATAAGGGCTACCCAACAAAATAATAATGTTAGTTTTAATATTGTTTATACACCATTTTGTTAGTTTTAATATTGTTTATACACCATTTTTGTTTTATTTGCTATTTCTATAATCACAACTTTCAGTTGTGTTTAGTAAACTTTTCAAAAAATATAGTTATACTTCAGTTTAAAATGATTTTTTTTATTGTTTATAGCAAATAGTTATAAAAAAACGATAATACCTTATAAGTAAAGAGTGGAGTACTTTTGTTATAAATTTATTGTAATCATTTTTTATATTTTTTACTTACATTTGTTTTGGTTCTTTTTAATAATAGAAGAAATGATAAAAGAAGCAATTTTGACTGCAGCATTGTTTTTCAACGTTTTTCATACAAAACCAATTGAAGAAAATGTGCAATATCCTCCTTCTTTAATTCAACGTCCGCGATCAGGAAGAGAATTTCCGAAAAGTAACATGTCAAAAAATAAAATTGATTTGCAAGAGCAAGGGGATTTTGATTGGGCCTTTTTTTACAAAAACAAGCTAAACAGGCCACTAATATACGGTTGTAAGGAGAATTTTGACAACAATCTTATTAACCAAGCAGATGATAACTTGCTTAAATTGCTCCAAAACGAACTTCAAAAACGTGCATACAGCGAACTGTTTGAAGATTCTTAGTTTTTACGAAAAGAAAATTAAATCATTTTATGATTATTGTCAACATTCCAAAGCTTTAAAGATTTTTTCAAGTAATAAAAAATGTAAATGATGTTTTTAATGGAAACAATGCTAACTTTTTAAATAAAATTTTTTTGACTTTCTTTATTTATAATAACTATATATTTAGATAATCTGAATTAAAATTAATTTTTTGAATTTTTATTGTAATTTTTTTTTTTAAGTTTTTTTGAACCCTAGATCTCTTGCTTCTAAAGCAAGCGCTTTAACTAGATGAAAAAACCGATAAATTTATTAACCAAAGAAAGAAATCTAGATGTTTAAACCATATTATTGACCATAGTAATGACCAGTAACAATAGAAAACCACCTGTACATAGTAAATATAAATACAACCATCCGGATATTACACATGAAATAATAAGTTGCGCTTTTATTTTAATTAAAAAATACTTTTATTGTTCCTATTTATGTCCATAAAAATCTTTTATTATTTAAAAAGACTTATTTTAAAATAATGAAAAGGTTGAAAATAAAAGTATAAGATAAAAATAAGATAATAAAATCTATATTAAGATATAAACATTATTTATCAATGATATATCATATAAATTAAATGTCTAAATTGTCTAAATGATTAAATGTCTAAAATGTCTAAATGTCTAAATGTCTAAAATGTCTAAATGTCCAAATTGTCTAAATGAATTTAAATGTCTAAAATGTCTAAATGATCCGAAAAGTGAAGTCACTTTTGCCTTTTTTACGATTAAATTTGTAAACAAATATTTTTTAACTTTTCTTTTTTTAAATGAAGCAAATATATTTTAAATATAAGTACTATTAATGTAAAGTGTTAAGAGGAAATTAGAATACTTGTAAAATCATAATTTATGCTTCCTAAGTTCATTTACGATTAGAAAGAGATTAAATTTTGATTAAAAAAAGTGAAACGACAGACGACAAACGACAGACGCTTTTGAAGCATTTTTATGAATTGTAATACTTTTTAGGCTCATAAAAAAAACTTTTATAAGTATTTTATAATTATTATATGGTGCTTTTGATTTATATTTAACTTCTTGGGAACTTTTGATGCTCTAAACTTGCATTTTTAACTTTTATTCCACACATCGGCTCCAGCTTTTGCCCTTTTTACAATGGGCGGATTATATTTATAAACAAAAAAAAGCGGCTTCATTTCTCGTCCAATAAAATACTGCAAGGTCGACATCTTATATAATGTGATGTTGAAA